TAGGGTTGCCAACAATCCCTTATTTTTACATCTCTTTACAACAAGATCGGGAGTTGCTGAGTGCTGCAAAAAGCAGCAATACGTACTCCTGGCGAATGTAGGTGAGTGCTGCTGCTTCTTTATTTATTTTATTATTATTAATGATGATAATGATAATATCAGGAGGAGGGTTGAGGTTGAGGTGCTGAGAAAACAATCCCTTACTTTTGAAATACAGTGTTGGTAACCTTATTCATGATCGTGAGTGCCAACCTCAGGGCAGATTGTCAAAAAGCAGGGCAGAAATCCCACACTGGTTATATGTTCTATAATTAGATTTCACCAACCCGGTAACAAGTGTGAACGTTCACCTGAGACCATCAATAAAATTAGACAAGAGATGGGTCCACCTTTACCTCCCCTGCTCCCACCTCTGATAGCTACCCCTCCAAGAACTGTTCGTCCTGTTTCTCCGATAATGTCTTCATCTAGCCGGTCCTCTCTGCCATCTCCTCTTGATGGTCTTATTTCCCCTCTAAGAGTAACTCCAGTTCCTCCACTAATGTCTCCTTTGTCAGATGCTCCAAAGTACAAATCTCCCCCTATATTTTCCACTCCATCTCCCTCAGAGACAACAGTTGGTCGAAGAATCTTGTCCTCACCTTTGCAATTTTGTGCTGCCACACCAAAGCATGCACTTCCTGTGCCGGGAAGACTTCCTCCATCTGCAGCTGGTTGTTCTGCTTTAGATGTTCCTCAGGAAAACTCTGTGAAAATCTTGGACACTATGTATCCAGAGCTATCACCAAGAGCAAGAACACTCAACATTCTCAAAGGTAACATTCAGCCCAACAGGCGTGCCCCTTCAGAATACAAGAATGTGCCAGGGCCAGTGAGTCAGTTCAGTGGGTTCAAAGCAATTTCTTCTACATCCACTGCTTTTGTTAAAACAGGGAGTAATTCAGAATCTCACAGTAATAAAGATCAAAAAGATTCAGGGAGTAAGAGTCATGTTGGAAAAAGGATATTGTCAGCCTCTATGCCGAGAAGTGCAAAGAGGCTGAGGCTAGACAGTGAATTGTCACAATTGGAGACTAAGGAAGATGTTGCAATCAAAGCTATAGGAGACTTAAATATTGAAGTACTGAGTGCTGCAGGTAAAACTGTCTCACTCAACAATTGTGAAATTAGGCAATTAGCAGCAAACTGCAATTCAGAATTGTCTTCACCAGTAGAGAATATTATTGATCCTGTGACTTTGGCACTGAAGAAAATTGCTGAATCCTGTTTTGATCTGTTACCTGTCATTCGGAGTCATGTGTACGTGGGAAATATTTTGAAGGTCCCGGTAATGAGAGATGAAGAGAAAGAAGTGGTCTATGAATTTGGTATCGCAAACAAGCATTTAGCAGAGCCACTGCTGCATGCTATTCTCAATAAACTGAAGATTCAGAAGATGTCTTTGAATCACAATTTCACTCAGGCTTTATGTAGAGTATACATAGGAATCTGTCAGCAGTTGGGAGATTTGGAAAGAGCCCGCCTCTTCTGCTACAGCTTACTTAAGGAAGACTTCCCAGAATCTGCCAAATTAACTTTGTTTATTACAAATATGTGGGATGATATATTCTCCTTCCAAGGCGTGATTAACAAAGCTATGCAGTTAGTTGTCAGGAAACGTGCACGAGGAGAGGTGCTGAACTGTCTGTGTCATTATCTCAGTTGGGAAAAGAGTCCACCTTTGGATACAGGCATTGTGGTCTCAAGTCTGCTTTTGGCAATACAGTTGTGTCCAAAAATGGAATTCCAGTTGAGTGAGCGATATGGAGAAGATCTGAGTGACAGCACTTGGGAATGTATACTTGCTATTGATCTCCTCTGCTGTCACCTGAAATGGAGTTGGACCCATGACAATATCATAAGTAAAGAGCTTTGGCCTGTCATGGACCAGTGGGTAAAGCATAGGAAAGGACATGAGACTGTTCCACCTATTCCAGATATTATTGTAGCATCAACACTTAGGCTAATTGGTCACTTAGGCCAAATAGGTTTGAAGGAAGGATTTTTTCCTGCTGTGAAAAATATCACTTCTATTATTGGACGCTTTATACAGCATGCAAAGGAAGAAGATGTGCCTTGGGGAGTGCAGTTGGCAGCAGTGTATGCACTCTGTGACTTGGGTCCAAGCAATCCATTAGAAGTTGTTGAGGCCATCCAATCTTGGAGCACAGCGACTAGTAACAGCATCCCATCTGCAGTCACAAGTGGCATATCTGAAGTCAGCTCTCTGTGCACAGTAGAATTACACTAAGATGAGGGAAGGGAAGGTAGCCTCATCTACAGAAAAAGTGCCTTTTATTAGATGAAAACTACGTGATGCCTTTTAGGATGAAAGTTACAAACAGTACAAAGAGGGAAAACCAGGAAAAGAGCCATGTGCTTTCCTTTTGGGGAAGGTGGGAAGCTTATGCATCCATAGTTTATGTAGGTGTTGTCTGGTCAGACAGCTTTATAAACAAAATAGGCTCTGAAGTATTTTGTTTGCCCTCTGCTGCAGAAAGACATGAAATCATAGATTTTGTGTGTGTGTGTGTGTGTGTGTGTGTGTGTGTGTGTGT